AGTAAAGTTTGTAACCTAGAGTGCTCCCAAAATAGTGAGTAGTTTTCGGACACTGGCTGTAACCATGTATACCATGTCTGTTTCGACACCCAAGATCCAAAAGCTAATTCTCCAGTCTACTTCACGTCTGAAAGGTTATTCAAATAAATAGGCTCTTACTTTACAACCTTATAAACTTATGACCATGTCCGATGTATAGGCCATTATGGACATTGTGGCGATTTTGCAGACAACATTTTATTCTATTATACAAATTAAACCCTTTGCAAACAATGCTACAAACTATGTGAGCAAAAAAACTAGGTTAACATACTACCGTTCTTTTTGCCATTGTAGTTTTCAATTCTGGAGTAACAATAAATAAAGCTATGTAATGATATTTTGTAGAACATAGCGTAACACGGCTACTTTACCTGGTCAGTGGACATAGTTTCCAAACTAGGTTTTTGCAGTCGCCGGTTCCATCAGCTTAGTCAACAAATTCATGTGTATATCGCTGCCCACTGGGAAGCTTATACAGGGGCAGTATTTACAACACTGGTAACAGACAAATGCACTTATCAACCACATGGGGGAACTCTGAGCAAATGCTACATAGTGTTGCTTTAAAGGATGTTCACTTCCAGAATAAACCTTTCCTAATAATATACTCACACCCATGTCATCCAAGCTCATGTTCATTTCTTTCTTTCTTTCTTCAGTCGTAAAAATTTGTATTTTTTTTTTTTGTTTGAGGAAAACATTCCAGGATTTTTCTCCATGTAGTGGACTTCAATGGTGGCCAAAAGTTTGAAAGTCCAAAATGCAGTTTCTAAGGGTTCTATATGATCCCAGCCGAGGAATAAGGGTCTTATCTTGCAAAATGATTGGTCGTTTCTTAAAAAAAAAACACGTGACCTAAGCAGAAGTACTGATCCAGTGTTTACAAGGTGAACATATAAAAAAAAAGTAATTGCCCTTTACAAAAAAGGTAAAACAATGATGTCGGATGATTTCAAAGTTGGAGGAGAAAATTAGATTGAGGTTAAGCGAAGTACAAAGATGAGGAACTAACTGCACGTGACGCTTCCAACAGGATTACGTAATGTGTTTCGCTTGATAAGACCCTTATTTTTTTTTGGCTGGGATCGTGTAGAGCCCTTTGAAGCTGCATTGAAACTGCATTTTGGACTTTCAAATCGTTGGCCACCATTGAAGTCCACTATATGGACAAAAATCCTTAAGTTTTCCTCAATGTAATATCTTTGTGACTGAAGAAAATAACTGAGTAAATTAACAATTTGTATTCTGGAAGTGAATTTATCCTTTAACAGAAGGGAGGTTATTCTGCTGTGTTGGTGGCTTGCTGCAGGGGTTTGCTCTGCCTGCATTCTGGAAATTATGTCCCATAGCAAGGGGTCTGCTATGAAGCAGTGCAGTTTTCCTTGAAAGACAAGAAAAGCCTTATTCTCGAAGACTTGTCATCACAGGGCTGCTGCATTAGAATGCTGGCAGAATCAAGAGTCTGGTGCAGCTCAACTGGCACTCCCGCGATGCACCAATTTTCACGGCAAGACTAGATATGCTAAGCCGTAGTGCATGCTCCCTAACCACCAAGAGAGCCATGGACCGCCTGCTGGCTTGGCCAGGCATTACAGAAGATGAGAGATTCATTGCTGACTTCTGATAATGTCCTTATCTCTACACCACCCTTTGACATCTGATGGTTTACAGTGTCAAAGACAGCAGACAGGTCCAGTATAAAGACAGATGATTTGGAGTTTGCTCTTGCCAGCCAAAGAGTTTCAACAATAGTCAGCAGGGCAGTCTCGGTGAAGTTTCCGCCTCTGAAGCCAGACTGGTTGTCATCACGTAGGTTGTTCTGTTGGAGAAAAGCAGAGAGCTAATTGAACTCTGTCAAGGGTTTGACCGAATAGGAAGATGAGAGATTGGTCTGTAGCTTTTAACTGCTAACGGGTCGAGTAGTGGCTTTTTGAGGGTACGTCCAACAAGATTTTATTTAATATAATAGGCATTATACGGTGTCCTTAAGATGCCTACATTTTCAAAAGAAAACCATATATGAAATCAGTAAAATATTTTCCTACTTCTGTACCACATCTTGGGCAACTCAATCCAGCTATACTAATCAAATCTGCATGTGTTCTCGAAGAACCTAATTAGCGCTATTTAGGTCTTGCATTTGTCATTTGATTGCCGATGTAACGAGCAAGATACAAGGAACAGACTCCAGAAGAATCTCACTCAAATTCGCCATTCCATGTATGGTCTAAAACAGTTATCATCTTTTGCCATAGAACAACAATTGTTAGTAAATTATCTTTGCAAAAATGTTATATGAATCTTATGTAAAGTGACAAACATATCTTTAGTAACATGAATAAATGAAATGAATAGCAGGCACAACACGCATGTACAATGTGAATCACCGTTTTCGAATACCTTTGTTTTCATAGTCACTCTACAACATGAAAGCTGCATTTTCAAATTTATGCACTTGGGCGAGTTTCTTCAAAGTTCTGTTTTCGCTGGACTTGGTGTAGGCTAAAACACAAATAAAATGTAGCCAGATGAATGTGGACGTAGCCTGAGCAGTGTTTACCCGAGCCTGTTTAAATGCAGTGGGAAAGTTGTCAGTAGTGAAAGATGTGCTGATTAGGTGAGTCAGAGCGGGTAGCAGAGATCTCCTTTAGTACGTGGGAAGGGATCGGGCCGAGTACGGCTGGCACAAAAAACTTTGGAGACCTCGTTCTCTGTGAGGGGTGAGAAAGCAGAGTGGAAATGTGTGGGTGGAGGTTGGTTGTAGAGAACTGTTGCTGATGGATGCCATCGTATCAAATGGCTGGTAAAGTCAGAGAGGAAGTGTGAGGTGGAGGAGAATGTAGTGAATAGTTTCTGGGTCTCAGGAGTCCGTGTTCGGTAGAAAACCGTATGTTTGTTTGATCACTGACTGGTTCTCAAGCCCTCATTTCCATCACCTGTGCTTCATGTCATGTTTGTATGTCCAAATGACCAGACTGTTCATTCACTCACTGCAAAGTCTCAGCTGAGCTGCGTTTCCTGTGTTTCCAGGTATTGTATGTTTGATTGTGGCTCTAATCTGCAGTTCTTGTTTGATTAGGCTACATTTTGGATTTGGTTGCCTGTGTTTGTCTTTTTATTTATTTATTTTTCCCGCTGTTCTTGCGTGTTTTAACCAAGCGGCAACCTCCCGCTCTCTCTCGTGAAGCCAACACGGAAGTGACTTAAACTGTAATTCATCGACTGGCCGCTAGAGGCTGGCTGCAAAAGGGAGTCAGTCCCATAGACTCCCCATGTTAAAATCCTAACTTTACAGCAGAAAAAAACATGTTTACAGCCCGGTTCAAAAAATGATTTTGGTCTATATAGCCAATTTTGCCCTTGATGACACCTGTGAGACGGGTGAAATAATTTTTTTTTTATTATAACTCATCTGTTTAAATTATATTAAGCCTTAAAGTTCTGCATAATTAAGGGCGTGGCCACTTGAGTGACCGGTGGATTGCCGCTGCGGTCACACCGTCGAGCTAGGTGGGTGTGGCTTCAGCAACCAGCTCCCGCCTCTTTGCCCATTTTTCGATTATCCGTGAGTGACGTGTGGTGACGCGCTGCCAAGATGGCGATGGCCGGCTCCGCCCACTTTTGAACTTCAAAAACGCTCTTCAGATATCTACGGGTGACGTCATATCTACACTGTAAAAAATTGTGATTTTAACAGTAAGATACTGTAAAAATGCTACAGTAAAGACCTGTTAACAGTAATTTCCATACTATATTCGGTGAATAAATGTAATTACATTTAATGTAAGTTTACAGTAAAATACTGTTAAAAATACAGTTTTTAGAAGTGAAAAAGAAAGTCATTGTATAATTTACAGTGACAAACCGTAAATTGACATTCCCTGCATGACTTCATATTTTTTATTTTTTTTTTTGTTTGGAATAACATGTTTCTTTTTTCTTATTAGTTGTGTACATCAGCTTTTAATCTTACATCTAATGTTGTTAAATCAATGTTTATTGCATTATTTCAGTATCGTGTGTCACCATGATGGGGTTTAGTGTTTGTGTGAATGACACTGCAGCTTCTATATATAAGTATTGTCCTCCGCTCGTAAAAAAAAAAACCGTTTGTTTGGTTCATCGTGTGACTTTCTCGTCGCCACCAGTTTTTGGTGGTTCTCGGTGTATTTCAATGGTTCAAAACCGATATTAGTACTTCAATATGTTGGTTTATTAACATTACATCAGTTAATGAAATACGGTAGTTTATTGTGAATTTAAGTCTGTAAAACCTAAAATGTTGCTACCATATTTTTTTACGGTGAAGTTCTGGCAACCACAGCTGCCGGTATTTTCCCGTAAATGTCACAGATTTTATTTTACAGTGTAACATTGCACATGTATGTACGTGATAAATACATTAAAATATTTTTTGTTACACTATTTTAAGGTGTTCTTGTTACGGTGTAATACATTTAATTACTGAGTAATATTAATTAACGTCATGCACTTACTATGTTTATGATTAGGGTTTAGTGTTACTTGTATGTAATTATGCATCATTTATCAATATTATAATAGTACATGTACAAGGACACCATAAAATAAAGTGTTACACTTTTTTTTTTAACAGTAAAGGGGTTTTATATTATAAGGGTTTTTGGAATGTAATAGAAACTAAAATTTTTAAAAAGTTGCACATGCATCACAAAACCATAATTAGGTTTATTTACTTATTTGTCAAATCCAATGCATAGTGAGGGAAATCAGTCAGTTCTTTTATTGTGGACAATTACTTGTTTACATTCGATCACTTTGTCCAATAATAATATAGTTACATTTATAAAGCAACATTCCCACAGCTCAAAGTACAGATACAGAAACTGAGGAAATGCTATGAAGGGAGTGTTCCAGAATTTTGCTAAAGTATACTGCTCAGATAGAGGACATTTATGACTAATGCACTAAAAATGTAAAACAATATGACATTACAATCTGGCCTATTATCATATAAGCACAATGCCTGGCATCAGTGAGTTTATTAAAGAACCTGTGGGGGGAGCCACATCCTGCCCTTCCTCGAGCCCACCAAACAAACACATCAAACTCCTGCAGTGGGAAACAACCTGTTCACCGCTCCCACATTCCTGCAGCGATGCTGGCATCATGAAGTGTTCCTCAAACATCTCTGACATTCCGATACAGACATCAAACCCTCATCATCCACAGGACTGAGCTCCAAACTCCTGACGCTTCTTACAGCAGGTGAGAGGAGTTTTATAGCATGCTGTCTTATATCATACTCTTCTCTACAGTACATTAATATTAGGTATTTGATACTGTAGGCTGTGATAATTTTGTTTGTTCATTTTATTTTGCACAAACATTTTTTATTAAATATGACATTCTTCTAAATAATAGTTAAACCATGAAATCATGTGCAAAACAGATCACGTTATATTTCAGTGCTCGTGTTACGGTGTATTAACCTGAAGTATGTGGGCTGCTGGGTTGAACTAAACGCACTGTTCTAGGTGTTTGATGGCTGTTTGTAATTGCATTTTAAATGTTTACATTTTCAGTAGCACTTTAAAACACACTTCTAGAGAGGTATGTGAACTGCATGAGCTCTGACTGGAGTTGAGCCAATGAAAGCAGCACGAAATGTTCTCACATGTTCAGCAGTGATGTAACTACAGGTGTTATGATGTTGTTATGATTTGTTAACCCATGTAGATCCATCATGATGTTGGAAATCTACCTGGTAATGACAGTTGCTGCCAGTGCTGTTTCTCAAGAGGCAGAAGAGCCTGTATCATATATGGCAAGTCTATTTACATAAAACTATAAATAATGCGTATCTTTTGAGCAGGCTGTAGTTTTGATATTGCAGTTCATATATATTTTAAATAGACAGGTAAAACATTCTTATACAGTGTTTTTTTCCCCCCTCACAGCAGTGCACAGAAGGCTATGAATATGATCCCATTAAAGAGGTATGCAAAGGTAATAAAATAATATTGTTGATATAGTATACTCTCTCTGACCAACAGTTGCCCCTTTGCCTATTTTCATGTCTCTAAGAAAGTGATTCTAAAGCATAATGCCAGTTTCCTCTCCATGTTCATGAACAGATATTGATGAGTGTGCCCTTGTCTCTGATGCCTGCAAAGGTGGCATGAAGTGCATAAACCACTATGGCGGCTACCTCTGCCTCCCTCAGAATGCCCAGATATTTGTCACTAATGGAGATGAATCATCCCAGCCCACAGACCCTATTCCCCAAACCCCCCTGAACCCCACTAATCCACAAACACGCACCCAGTCAAACCACAGAGGTGTAGCAGCTGGAGCCTCGCAGTGCTTGCCGGGTTTTACACTGGATGAGCAAAACTACTGCCACGGTAAGCCATTGTTCTTAACACAACAGTATTTGTGGCAGCGTTAGTCATTTATGGGCTTGGTAAGAACTTTTCCCCCATCATTGATTTTCAGCAAACAGTGCAGTTGGTGCTAAATTTCCAGATTTTCTTTGAAAAGGTTCTAAACTGAAAAGTTATTTTTAGTCAGTAAACAGGAAATATGCATTTCAGAAAATTATATTTTCCCAGCATTAAAAGTGCATAAAAAGTCATTACTTAATATTATAATTTAATAAAAAAGGTAAAAGACTATTTTTTTTTAAATGCAAACTGATATTTAGGGCCTTGCACTGACATTTTGGGTGGCATGTACTCAACTGAAAAAAGGGTACCCCTTTTATTTATAAAAATGTAATAGGGCTGCCCCCTAATAGTTGACTAACCATCAATTTTATTAGTCGCTTAATCGCAGAAAAAACATCCACAGGACGTGGCGAAGTCACGCAGATCAATGACAGCTGGTCTGTGGTAATTACAGTACATCGGTCAGGACATCTGAGTGTTCATTTCCATCGACCTCAAATGTGGCTTATCTCAAACATGGAAGTAGTTGCAATATTACAGGGCTGCTCGCTTTAACGTTAGCCTAGAAAATGTGCACTATTGAAGTTTGTGCAGAGTGTGGAAGCTGAACAGTAGCACGCTGACTGCATGACTGTTAACTTGGAGGCGCCGGTGCGATCATTTGCATTTAACTTAAAATACTCAATTTTTGCTTATACAGATAAAAGTAATACATCTTTCAAATATGTGAATCTGTCTACTTTTTGTGCCCTCACAATAACAACAAAACGTTGTGCTTTTGTAAAATAATGAAAGCAAAGAGGGTGCGCTTTCTGCCGTCTAGGTCTCTGAACTTCAGCACGTAAAAAAAACAGTTTGCCTCACAGACATGAAAAATATATCTATAGAAAATGTCTACTTTTAAATGAAGCAATTCAAAATGAAAACCCATATTTTTAGATTGTGATCCATATGAAACGTGCACGTCCACTGTGGAGATGAGTCAGTGTTGTCAACTTCATGACTGCAGCCAAAAATACAGAAAACATCAATCAATGAATTATTATAATGTTAAGGCAGTCTTCTGGCTGTTTTTCCCCATTTTTTTTTTTCCATAATCATTACTTCTGCCGGTGCACTGTGGCAAGCTTTATGCATGCGCTTGAGTGCTTATGAGCACTTAAAGGCTCATTATTAGGAATGATAGGGTTTATTAATATAAACGCCCAATTAGTCGACTAATCACTTAAAATTATCGACTTACTAGTTGACCAGCTCGCTTTAGTCGAGTGCAGCCCTAAAAATGAGTTGTGTACTGGTCACAGTGTCACCTGACTCCACTATCACCCCCTTACAATCACCTGAATACTGATCACTTGCACCTCGTCAGCAGCACCCTCATCAGCTGCTTTAGAAAAGCACACACTTCTCCCCAGCTCATTGTCTGTTCTTCTCATTGAAATATGGACCACTTTCCTGTCTACTTACCACCTGCAATTACCTTCAGTGTTCCCCCGTGTCTCCAACATCCTCTATCGTGTGTCTACTCATCCAAGTCTTCATCCCTGAGAAGTGTGTGCACTCCAGCGAATCCACAATCTCCCTCTATCTGCAAAGAGAGAAAACCTCTTCATTCTCCAGTATTGCATTGCTCCATTACTACTTACCCATTGCTACTCATGTACTCCTTTTCTCTGTTAAGAAAATCACTGTGTATTGCCCTCTAATCCTGTCTCTGGTCTTCTGTTATGGAAATACCAGACTCGGAGCAAACACCACCACATGATTTCCACGAACCCATTTCAGGAGATCGTGGATTCACTGTGGCGAGCCTTCGCATCCACAACAACATCGATCACCACACCAGTCACTCCTTCAGCACCTGTTTGTGTGGTTAGTCCCATGGCCAACCTGGCACCCTACTCTGGCTTGGAGGAGGGCTGCAATAGATTTTTTTTTCTACAATGCTCACTGGCCTCAAGATGCAGTCGCACCAATTTCCTACTGAAAAATCCAAGATCTTCTTTGTAATCACTCTTTTTTCAGGGTGAGCGCTCCAGTGCACGGAAACCATTTGGAACCAAGATGGCCCAGTCTCCCAGCCATTCAGTAGCTTCGTAGCTCATTTCTGAGAAGTGTTTGGAAGACCACTTGGTGATTCATCTATGGGTGATCAATTGTATCACTTAAATGAGGTAAAATGGCAATAACAGATTATACTCTGGCGACTAGTAGGTGGAATGAGTGCTTGCTCCTCACCCCCTAGCGAGAGGGTTTGGAATCCAAGTTGCAGCTGTATCTCACTGCCTACAATGATTCCATCGGTCTGGAACACTTCATTCAACTCTGCATTCGTGTTTCTCATAGTATGCAGACCTGTATGGAGGACTAACAGGGCCAAGAATCTTCTTCCTACCATCAACAGTCAAAGTATGCCAGCTCTCCAAAACCAGGTATAGAGCCCATGGTTGTGCACAATTCTCATTGCCCAGGGTCTTTGTACTGCAGAGCATGAGGGCATATAAACTCTTTATGCCCTGTCCATCCTCCTCGACCTGTGGTGAGTTGTATTCATACTCCTAGTTCTCATGCATCTCCACTTACCACTTAAGTCACCCTTACTGCTCGTGATGTCTCTCTTTCAGTACTCACTCGGGGGAGCTCTGCCATCAACTCCAGATCAAAAGAAGACCTATCAAAGTTAAGTCCAGTCGGTAACAGGAAGACCACTCAGCCACTGCCATATGCGTTTTTGTGTGGGACACATCCAGCTTGGCCAACTCTATCAAGAATCCCTGAATTTTCTGGTTCTGGAGGAATCCACCACTGGCATCATCCTGGGGCATTCATAGTCAAATAAACAACCCAGTGCTATCCTGGAAAATAGAAGTCTTGAAGTGGGGTGAAGTTACCCTGAATGTTTCCCTCTCCTTCCATGAATTCTTATTGACCTGTGAAAGTTCTCCCAGTTTACTCCACGTCCATCAAGAGTCTGGTAAATCAACAATCAGTGGATATACCTCCCTACTACGCTCCCTTCAGTGACATATTCTGTCGAAGAGAGCTTCCCAACTGCCTCCCCACAGGTCATGGGACAGTGCCACAGACCTATTTCTGGGTGAACTTGTGCTGCGTGGCAAGATCTGTCCATTATCCATCCCAACCCAGATAAGCCCTTTGTTGAAGGGCAGAAAGTGTGGCTCTCGACGAGTGACATCAAGCTATGTTTGTGTCTCCCGACGCTGTGGTGGCCTCTTGAAATATCTAGTGAACTAGGAAGGATATGGTCCTGAGGAAAGATCCTAGGTCCCCAGATATGATATCCTTGATCCTTCGAAAAATCATGGCCAGATCCTAGGCCGGACTGTAGCATGAGTGGCAGGCTTCATCGTATGAGTGCCACGAAGGAACGGAGTCATCCAATGGTGTCTCTCCAAAGACCCATCGCCTAAGGGGGTTTGGATGGCAGCTATGATCACCATGTAGACCATGTAAAATGGAGGGGTATAGACCCACATAGAAACAATTCTGGAGGAATGCCAACACTGATGCCACTGGGCAGTTAACTGGGTCCAATCAGTGTTCCCTGCCCCATGAGGTGAAAGCCCTCCACTTCAGAAAGAATGGTTCCCTCATGGCAGGAGCTATAGAGTTTATGATGCTCTCTGCAACCTCAGCCGAGAGACCAGAGTTCAGGAGCTGATCCCCCTTAGGGTCCAGACCTACAGTATCCACTTCTCTGACAGGGGGTCATATATTGTGCCAATGACTTGGAATAGCAGCTCCCTCCGGATGAGGATCTCTCACAAAGGACTATTCAGATGGGCTATAAAGTCCTACAACCACACTAGGGGCCAGCCAGATTTGGGGCCGGGAGGCTACAAGGAGTAAACTGATCCCATCCTGGTGAACTCGCTCTAGAACTCCCGGGAGCAGTACAATTGGGGGAAAAGCATACAGAAGTAGCCTCGGCCATGTCTGTATCATAGTGTAGCAAGAGGCCCAGTTGTAGTGACTACGCCACCCCGGATTACCGGGGAAAATAGCCCAAATAAGGGCACGCAAATACGTTCCACATGAATGGAGCAAGAGGCGTGAATCTCCGTACAAACAATCTTTTATTAAGGCTAAAAGAATTGGCTGATATTAATTTTAAAACCCACAGCCGGCACACACCAAGGTCATCGGTCCAAAAAAGAAAAACAAAAAAACATCCTAATAATAATAATAATGCTGTAGAAAGCGGAGTCTTCCTATATGAGAAGTGGGTGAATGTAACCGCACCAGGTAGGCAAAAGAGAAAAATCACACCAATCAGTATCACACCCACAAGATTAACTGCAATAGTGACACACACGAAAATGGCCACCCCGAGTGAAATAATATCCATGGTGCTGTCAAAACCTGACCCGCTCCCGGAAGAACTCCACTCTACTTCCGCTCAACCCGTTAATACGATGGTGTAATGCTCCTGACAACAGATCATACAACAACAACCAGCTAGGTGACAGCTACAACAACTGGTGCTACGACCTGGGCTACGTTACACTGCAAGGCCACAATCAATGGGAGCCATGAAGGCACACCACACTGAAACACAACAACGCACCGCACCCAGTATATCTCAGCAGCCTAACAACACACTTGGAAGGCCACAACAGAAAGGAAGAGGCGGGCTTTCGACCATGACACACAGCAAGAGGCAGAACCAACCAACTTGCAGTGGGGCAAAAAAGTATTTAGTCAGCCACCAATTGTGCAAGTTCTCCCACTTAAAAAGTAAATTCTTTAAAAATCCTACAATGTGATTTTCTGGATTTTTTTTTCTTTCTCATTTTGTCTCTCATAGTTGAGGTATACCTATGATGAAAATTACAGGCCTCTCTCATCTTTTTAAGGGGGAGAACTTGCACAATTGGTGGCTGACTAAATACTTTTTTTTCCCCCACTGTATATACCCTAAACGGGCGATCGCTCACTGGCCACATAATTAATAATGGTGAAGTTTTAGCAACATCACTACAATAGCATCCAGTCCAAGAGGAGCTGAATATATGGAGTGGACAGTGGGTTGTTTCTTGTTGTGCGAACAAATCTAATTACCTAAGCCTGCTCGGAGGCCACCACCATCGACAAAATGCCATCGAATTTTGATGGTCTAGAATCGAACTGGATTCTGTATCCCCTTTTCTATTGCATGCAGGATCTACTGACACACAGTCAGCGAAAGTTGAGGCTGCCGAAAAAGTCTTCTAAGGGAATAAGATTTTCGAGGCTGATCCCGGGTGTATCTCGGGACAAGGCAGGGGATGAACCTTTTGAAGTCTGATGATTTTCATTTAGCCTCCTGGAATCTCTTGACGGCCAAACTGACAACATCACTGAAGAGGCCAGAAGGAGACAGCGGGGCATCAAAGAAGGTGGTTTTATTTCTGTCCTTGGTGCTTGATAGATTGTTTCTCTCCATGGCCACTAATGCTGACATGAAGCAGCCGATGACTCAGGCTGTGTCCTTGGTGGGCCAGAGACGAGTCATAACTTGCTTTTGTGGCACACTTACTGCATCTCTGCTGGTCATTTGTTAATCTTAGACATGGTATGGGTCATAACCGTCACCAGCTTCTCATAAGCAGGGGATATAGATGGCGAGTCCTCCATATTCAATTCAACTCAAGTTTTTGTACAGCACATTTCATGATACAAATAATTGCAAAGCAACTTTACAGCAAATTAAGTTTCTACAATATTTAGTGGTAGCTTATCAGTGGTGACTGTCAGTCAATGTACATATGGCAGAAATGTACGGAAAAATCAATTAAAGACGTAATCAAACAGACGATGAACACTATTAACAGCAATTATTATATGATGCAATCAAACTTGTAGCAAAATTTGGTAGTTCAGAATCAGAATCAGAATGAGCTTTATTGCCAGGTATGTTTACACATACAAGGAATTTGTTTTCGTCACAGAAGCTTCCACAGTGTAACAGAATGACAGTGACAGAACAAAAAACACCAATAATAAAAAATAGAACAAGTAAATAAGGAATAAAAATATATAAATTGACAGTTGTATGTGCAGGTATATTACAATAGACAGTTTTTGTATGTACAGGTACTGTATATTATGTGCAAATTTGAGGTGTAGACTGAGTATGTGTGTTAGATAAATAAGTGTATGAGTGAATAAATAGTGTGTGTGTTCCACAGTTATTGTTAAGTGTTCATGAGATGGATGCCTGAGGGAAGAAACTGTTCCCGTGTCTGGTCGTTCTGGTGCTCAGTGCTCTGTAGCATCGACCAGATGGCAACAGTTCAAAGAGGGAGGGTGCTGGATGTGAGGGGTCCAGAGTGATTTTGCTAGCCCTTTTGCTCACTCTGGATGAGTACAGTTCTTGGAGAGAAGGGAGGGTTGTACCAATGATTCGCTCAGCAGTCCGGACTACCCTCTGAAGTCTTCTGAGGTCAGATTTGGTAGCTGAGCTGAACCAGACAGTTATTGAAGTGCAGAGGATGGATTCTGTATGTTGTTTCAGGGTTGGCATCATCTGAGGTCCTCTGAGGGGTTGGCATCATCTCTTCTCAGGTGTTCTGGATCCAGACTGAAGCTTGTGTAAATCCTAGTTCCGTGGCAAAAACAAAGAAACAAATAGAGACATAATTAGCGTAGCTGCTGTTCCAACATCATATCTCCCACCTTGATGAAGAGACAATATCCACCTCCTCAGAGCTGGACAACATCAACATCGGGCTCTCACTTGGGGTGGAAGAATCCTTGGAGCAGGCTTCTGGATCCCAAGTGCAAATGCTGGAGCACATGGGAGAGAGCCGAGAAAGGGCCGAAGCCATCTCCGGGAGCTCCACTTACGACCCCCAATATCGAAGCTGCCGCACTGCCTCCAGGATCAGAGCATTTTGATTGGCAGCTGCTCACAATGTGCACTCCTTCGAGAGCTGACCACACATGCTCTGCTCCCAAGTTGTGTGTACACAGATTGTGTGTCCCCACCCATGATGTAGCACCATCACACATCACGAGTGGCACAGCACCAATCAGGATTGGTTTACTTCAGACACAGTCTCGCAGAAGCATTCCCCACATAGTTAGTGCAAGTTCCTCAAAGGGGAACATCATTTGCATCGTAAATGCAAACAGGAAGAGATCATGGATTTAAACAGGAAATAGACTTTAAAAATTGTGCTTTTGGTGCACTTGGTTCTGGACCAGGTCTTTGCTCTGGAAGGGGGGGAAAATGCCATGTAATGTTGGGATTTGACCCAATGATGCAATCCTTGGTTCATCATGCAGTGACAAGGATCCTGAAAAGCACTTTCTGTCCAGTAAATCTGGTTAAATCGAGCTGTCTGTAGCTATACTTTAGGCTCTGGGTTCCATGTGGAGGGATTACTAAATGAATGTTCCTCTTTTCATATTCATTAATTTCATTATACTCGTCAATGGTCCACACATTGATCAGTCTGTGTAATTGTGTATGTTTGGGCAGATGTAGATGAATGCTCCCAAGGCCTACACACCTGCAATGCAGACCAGATCTGCTACAACACAAGAGGCTCCTACACCTGTCAGTGTCATCCTGGATACCAGAAACATGGAGAACAGTGTGTGGGTAAGTTCACACTGCACTCTAGTCATCAAAGCAGCCTACTGATATAACAATATATACAATAATTATAATCCTGTAATAAGTATATATAATCATGCCGGTAAGTGCAGGTTAGCAATGTTTTTGGGTTGTTCTAGAAAACAAAACTTATCTGGTGAAACACTGGTCAGCCAGTGTGGTCGTTCTAGTTAGTGTGGTTGCTGGTTAAGCTAGAGGGTCAACAGGTTTTAGTTGAACTGGTCTAGAGGGAACTCTAGTCGGGAGAGGTCTTCTCTAGTGTCTATTATGTCATTAGTATCAAATATAAATACTTCTGTAAAAAACATTACACTTATATTGTTTGTAAATAATATGCTTATAATAGTGAAATAAATAAAGATGATAATTGGCTTTAAATCAAAATAATCTCAGTGAGGCATGGAAATTAAAATTCTAGGCCAAAAATAAAAAAGCTGATTTTTTTTTCTTAAATAATAGACACACTTACTGGATAATTTTCTCACCCGTAATTAATACAGTAAGTGTTGGGTAACAAAAGTTCTCAGCATTTCTGTCAAGCTTGCCCAGCATATGACGAAGCCCTCATTGCATTCAAAACAGACATTCTCATTTACATCTGTGACCCTGGAGCACAAAACCAGTCATAAGTCGCTGGGGCATATTTGTAGCAAAAGCCAAAAATACATTGTACGGTTCAAAATGATACATTTATGCCAAAAATCATTAGGATATTAAGTAAAGATCATGTTCCATGAAGATATTTAGTAAATTTCCTACCATAAATATATCAAAACTTAATTTTTGATTAGTAATATGCATGGCTAAGAACTTCATTTGAACAACTTTAAAGATGATTTTCTCAATATTTAGATTTTTTTGCACCCTCAGATTCCAGATTTTCAAATAGTTGTATCTCGGCCAAATATTGTCCTATCCTTACAAACCATACATCAATGGAAAGAGTATTTATTCAGCTTTTTAAGAAACCCTGATGACTGGTTTTGTGGTCCAGGGTCACATTTATGGATTTAGCAGACACTTTTATCCAAAGCATCTTAAAAAAAAACAATGTCAGGTTTATTAGACAGCTTTTCGGTGTATCTCTAATACTCTAAATTAAGTAAGTGAGTAGGTAAGTAAGAAAGTCAACTTAATTAGGTTCTCGGTCTGAGGTCCCCCTGCCCCCTTAAATTAAACTCCCTACAATGATTTTATTTAATAAAACTGTCTGAAACATGATAATACGTGTCTTCACTACCTTCCACATTAGACTTGGTCAATTAAGAAAATCTTCATCTGTGAAAAGTTTTTTCTATCACCCTGTAAATGTGTTAAGAATAGTATATAAGCTTATTCAAGCACTGTGTGTGTGTGTGTAAACCTCTTTGCAGATAGAAATGAGTGTATGCTATCACACTACTGCATGCACAGATGTGTGAACACTGCTGGCTCGTATTACTGCGAGTGTAAAGATGGCTACCAGCTCGCCAGCAACAACCACAGCTGTGTAGGTGAGTCAAAGACCTAACCTGCCTTTCTATCTGCACAGCTTTGCTCAAGAATGTGTGTGTTCAGTGGAATTCAAGATATCCTTCAGTATCTCTCTAAACTTCTGTTTTGCATTTGCTCTCACACTCTGATGGTCCAGGCCTGTGCTTAGTAACATATCCCATATTTTTAATTTACATCTCTCTCTTTGTAAACAGCATATCACATTAATTAATTAAAAAAATTGCAAGGTGTTGAAGGGGTTTGTTGGAGTTAATCTGAAAAATATTAAATGTTAAATAGCAGTCTGTTTTTAAGTGTTATATTGACTGTAGAAGAATCTTTGAGCAATATACAGGACAATTCTTATATTAGAATAGTACTCATTATCTTTTTGCGCTTATTATCACTTTTAATACCATAATGTGAAATAGATGTCAGTACGATATAAGGGCAAGAAGGCCTAGCTGATAGATTATCATATTACCATGCTTCACAGTTCTGCCAAGAATTTGATTTCAGATATTTAACAAAGATATGTAAAACATCTCATAGGGTGGATAGCAGTAAGAGGAGCTTCAAATTAAAGGTGAATCTGTTGTTAGCACAACATATTTCAAAAGGAGAGAGACCAGTTGGAATTGATCCCAGAGTTTAGTGAAACAGGCAAATGCATGTTAATGTAAGGGGGTCTTTCAAAGGTGTAGTTTGCAACTCCACATTGTTCAGCTGTTTTGAGGGTACAAAGGAATGTGAAACTTTAGCCTAGTACCTAACTTCTGAATCAACGCTTAAAGATCTTTGCCAATAAAATATGATCAACAACATGAGGAATTCCTCAGCGAGGAAAGGTTTCCTGCAAAAGTATTTGTACACATGCATTCATTGGAAATGGAAGAACATGCTGATAAGAACGGCTCTTAGGACCAGTACAAGCACACCAAATATGTGTCCAAGGTCCTGTAGGACTGTGTGCAGGGAAGCCTCATGATGAACAAAAGAATGTTTCTTTTACAGGCAGCTCAACTGATGCATGTGGTACCCAACTATAACTAAAAGATGGAAATTAGAAGTACACAAGAATTGATTTAGAAACACTGGATTCCGTGCTAAGGTTTGAGTATCATATCTCAGCTTGTGATGTTCCTCATCTGTAAACGGCTTTGCATAAACTAAAACAATAGAAGAGTTTATCCATCATGGATGGGACCAGTTAAAGAGGACGAAACACAAGTAGGTTTGTGTAGGTTTGCAAATATATATTGAAAGGCAGGGAGGATATCCTATCATTGCTATTCGGACTGAGTGCAAATATGGACAAACATGAGCCTGAGCCATCCCTACAGAAGAAGTACATACACACACACACACGCACACGCCTACTTGATGCTTTGACTCGTTTTGGAGCTTTTTTTGTTGTTGTTAAAGAAGAAATATATGAACTGTCCATATAAATAATGTTTCTATTAACTAATGTTTAAAGATATTGTAAACAAGCAATATTACACATGGAAGTGTGCTGAATATGACTGAGTAAATTACCTGTCGATAGATTAGATGTATAATTGTGTTCAGTAACTGTGTATGGATTTGTTTCAGATGTGAACGAGTGTGATCTGACTCAGTCGTGCCAACATCAGTGTTTCAACCTCTTGGGCTCGTATATCTGTCAGTGTGATCAGGGTTATGAACTCGCGCCGGATTCAGTCTCTTGTGTGGGTAAGTGCTATGCTGGATGTTCCTGTGCTTGTTTCGAGTGCACTTTCTACTTGCCAAGTGTATTAGTTTGTGCAGGTTCAGTGCTTAACATATAGTAACGAGAGCTGTCAAAAGGGGTGCAAAAACTCATTTGAATTTAAAATATTTTTTTATATAATATTTCAAAAAATTTGACTTGCATTCAGATTTTAAAGAAATGATTTCAGTTAAAAACTAAGATGAGTGGACACCAAGAGGGCGCAATGACTAAATACAAACATGTAAAAATGGTCCTTTTTGTGAATAAAGTATTTGTGAATTCTTTGTTAGTTGTTTATTATCCACGTTTCATTGCGTTCTTACGGAAAGAGCACATTCATTACGTGATATGTTTGGGTGTTATTTCACCTGCTACTAAGCACTTCAGATTACCGGTGCTCATTCACAAACATGCCAAATATCATACAAATTGAAATGCAGTTATTGCATTTTGGGCATTTTCATCTGAAATTCAATTGTTTGAGTTCGAAATTTTGATTGGACAGCCCTACAAGTAATTCTTTATCATTAGCTAGATAGTTTTCAGCCTGGTTTTAGGCAAAGATGATGGATGTTTAATTGTCGCTGTTTGTTGAGTTTGTGTTGTTCTGCTGTGTGTCTAGACATCGACGAGTGTGCATTCTCCAGCTACATGTGCCAGTATGTGTGTATTAACAGCCCGGGTGGATATTCCTGCATCTGCCCAGAGGGATATCGGCTGCAGAGAACAAGAATGTGTCAAGGTATCGGCCTCCTCCTTCATAAAATATAGCACTCGTCATTGCCTGGCCTCCTCTCTATCCATCCACACCCAGATATTTCACATCAGAGCAAGATGGGCCAGGAATTCCCAACCACTTGCTAACGGAAACAATGCAGAGCTCACATGGGTTACACTTTATTTCAAGGTGTCCTTGTTACAATGTAATTATACATTTAAGCACGGAGTAAAATTAATTAACAGCATGTACTTACTGTAGGTTTAAGGTTAGTTGCATGTAATTACGCATGATTTACTGTTATTACTAAAGTGCATGTAACAAGAACACTAAAAATAAAGTGTTACCTTCCTACTTTAAACAAAAAGGCTGTTTATCTGTTCTGAACACAGGGAAAGATGTTAGATGAAGTTTATGTTGTGTATCTTGCCATTTGAATTTCCAGTAGCGATGTTACTTCTGTAATTTGACGTACGTCTGACTGAAATGTGACATTCAACGTGAAAAACTTTGTGTGCTTTTTGCCTGAATGTTCATTCATAGGATAGATATGACTTATTGCTAATCACAGTCTTTTCTCTGGCATAGACATCAATGAGTGTGACACAGGTCACGAGTGTAGGGAAGATGAGATGTGCTGGAACTATTACGGAGGTCATCGCTGCTACCCTCAGGACCCGTGTCTGGAGCCTTACGTGCTGACGTCGGAAAAGTAAGTCAGTCTGTGTTTATATCCAAGTACTAGAGCTAGAAATGAAGATCACAGAACACACCAGAGACACAAGTTTTGATTTCACACTTAAGCATGGGGGGAAAAAAAGAGAGTAATGTTCTTGCTCTTATTCCTAGCCGGTGTTCGTGCCAGTCTGCGGGTGCGTGTCGAGGCCTGCCGCAGTCTATCATTTACAAATACATGAGCATTCATTCAGAGCGCACCGTACCAGCAGATATCTTCCAGATTCAAGCCACAAACATCTTCTCCAGTGCACACTACACCTTCAGGATTAAAGCTGGCAACGATGGAGGAGAGTTCTTCCTTAGGGTGAGTAACCAAACCTTGTATTTTTGCATTTAACAGCTGCATGAAACTAAACTGTCAAAGACATTTCATTTGATATTTCTTTGGCAGATTATATTTTCATGTGGTTTCTGTGGTTTGACCACTGAGTGGTGCTGTACGCCAGCTGCATTAGTAGCTTTAGGCCGTAGTGATGGAAAGCCATTTGTTGACGAATTAGATATTACTGGTCACACTGTACATTCAGGTTTAACACAGTTTCTTGTTAGGCAAGGTAAGGCCTGATTTGTGCAGCACAGTGCAGACATGCAGGCAATTCAGCTTTGCTTTCCCTGGTATCCCATAATAAAATATAAATGTCTTGATCATGCTGAACTTAAACATTTCTCTGTGTCTCTGTATCAGGGAAAAAATAGGAAAACATTAGTCAAGACATGTGCTCCACCCTGGTTGTTTCCCCAAGTTCTCTCCAAAGCACAGAGCGTGATATTTGACAGCACATTTATCATTGTGGGGAAATATAACTATTTTCTTTCTTTCTTTCTTTTTCTTTTTTTTTTTTGCCAGTGCTGTGATTTGAATAAACTTTAAAACAGTGTCACTGTTACCTTTTAAATAACTTCTGGAGGAAGATTGGGAACCAGCTGGAGGAGGATGGGAGAAAGTCTGTTTAGATGGTGTTTAATTGCACAGGCTTCATCTTTATATATTGAACTTATTGTGAAATAAAATAACATGTATCATGATATTGGATTTTGGTCACCTGTAGCTTATCCAAAATGCTGCAGTGAGGCTTTTAACAAATAAAGAGAGACCACATCTCACCTGCTCACCTGCATCATTACACAGGTTGCTGATTAAGTTTTGAGTCCAGTATAAGGTGCTTTCATACTTTATGCTGACTTGTCAGTTGCAACATTCTGAGGTGTGTTATGTGCTGATAACTACTGTCATCAGTAGCAATGCTGAATAACATAACGTTCATCTGGATATCATGGATTTGTTCTCTCTGGTTTCATACAAACACAGATGCTGAAATCTTGCATCTTTGTTATAGCATTGAAAATTAATGGACAGATTTCAGTATTACTGTTGACTTCAGTTTTAATTAATTGTGGGGCAGTCGTGGCCTAATGGTTAGTTGGACTTGTAACCCGAAGGTTGCAGGTTCGAGTCTCAGGTCCGGCAGGGATTGTAGGTGGGGGGAGTGAATGACCAGTGCGCTCTCTCCTGCCCTCAATACCACGACTGAGGAGAGACCCTTGAGCAAGGGACCGGGGGTGTGTGTGTGTGTTCACGGTGTGTGTGTGTGCACTTGGATGGGTTAAATGCAGAGCACAAATTCCGAGTATGGGTCGCCCCACGTCACTTCGCTTAATAGTGTAAAATTGTTGCAGTGTTTATCTTTTTGCCAGGGTGAATGTTTTGCGCACTGTAATGTAGTAGCCCACAGTGTGGTAGATATAAGGGAGCCTCCGCTTCGCTTCAGGAGCCTGATCACCTCAGCTTTCTTTGCTCTCATCTGAAATGAAGAGATGACTGTGCCTTTGCTGTTGTAGGCTCAAGACTGTGAAATGGTTTGTATTTAAGGCTCTGTATTGTAAGCTGGGTGCTCTGTGTCACGTGCTGGGTGCTGATACTAAGCGCATGATGCAGGAGTAATTCCAAAACAGTCCTTTAATGATAAATCCACACAAGAAACAGAAGGCTCTGCCTCACCATTTTCTTGCGGGTATCTCAGACTGCTGGTAATGTGTGTAAAACCGCTTGCAAAGTTCTTAAAGAGTGCACAGCTATACCGTGGTCCATTGTCTGACATAACAGTCTTGACATAATTCCGTGACGGCTAAACACATCCTTCAGTGCTGCAATAACTATATTGGCTGTGGCTATATTTAGACGTGCTACTTCAATGTAACATGAAAAATAATCCACAACCAGAAGATACTGTATGTAGTCTTTTCCCAGAAAAATAAGTCTGTGCCCACCCGCTGCCAGGGTCTCTCAGGCACTGGGGTTGTCAGCAAGGGTCCTCTGTGTTCTGCCCTATGCTGGGAGCATATGCTGCAGTTTTCCACGAGCTGACTTGTGTACGGACAATCCTGGCCTCCAGACGGCCTGGCGAGCCCTAGCTCAGCACTTGACTATATCCTGGTGACCATCGTGTATTTTGTGGAGGACCTCTTGCCTCATGCAGTGGGGAATCACAATCATTTGGCCCCTTATGAGCAGCTCTCCAGCAACAGTAAGATTTTATCTTTCAGGCCAGTATGGCCCCAAATCAGGAGGAAGGACATGTTTTTCCGGCCACTCATTCTCACAGTATTAAATGAGTTTTGCACAGATGGGATCGGCTTTCTGATTCTTAATTATTGTATTGAAACCTTGCATCAGTAGCTGGGAGGGCCTGAACCACAGCATCCACAAACACCTTAACATCGTCCTCATCCTTTTTCTCTTTCTGCGTAAACGTGTGTTTCACTGGAGCTCTTGATAATGTATCAGCAGTTATGAGCTGCTTACCAGACATGTGCACAATGTTGAAGTTCACTCATCATTCTCAGACGGAACCACAGGATTCATGAAGGGAGCTCATTTAGTGCTTCGGTGCTCAACAGTGAAAGCAGTGGTTTGTGATCTGTCTCTAGTCTATATTTTAGACCAAAGATGACAGATGTTCACATGCCCACATGATGGCAAGGACCTCTTTTTCTATTTGTGCATAATGTTTTTCTGCCTCAGACAGGCCCCTGGAGATGAACACCACTGGTTTCCATGTTCCATCTGCTTGTTTTTACTCCGAACACCCCCCAGGCCAAAGGAGGAGGCATCTGCAGCGACACGTCTCAGCTGACAGTGAGTATGAGGCCAACACCTGATGAGAGCTCAATTCAGCTTTCAATTTCTGAATTGGCTTTTTTTGTGGTATCACCATTAATTTTTCTCACTAAGCAGGTCTTTGAGTGGACGGGTGGACGATGCAAGGTGAGGTAAAATTTTCCTAGATAATTATCCATGCCCAGCAGTCTCCGCACTCCTTCCACCCCAGTTGGTTCGGGCATCTCCATAATCCCCCTGACTTTGCCAGGGTCTGGTGCAACTCCTTCTGCTGTGATGTGATGACCCACAAACATAATGTTGTCTGCAGCAAACACACACTTTTCATTCAAGGTCAACCCCTCTTCTTGCAGACTTTGGAGGACACAATGCAGTCCCTCATTGTGATTGTGCATATCCTCACCGTATACTAATATGTCATCTGCATGACACACGACCCCTTCGCATCCTTCCAGCATTTGTGATATGTGGCATTGAATATGCTCTGGGGCTGTCAAGATTCCAAATGGTAAACGGTTGAACGCATATCTCCCGAATGGGGTGATAAATGTTGTCAACAGTTTGCTCTCCTGGGACAACGGGATCTGTCAGAACCCTGATGTTGCATAGAGCTTTGTGAAAACTTTGACTCCTGAGAGCATTGTGAGCGTCTGGTCCACTGCTGGGAGAACATGTCTTTCTCGCCGCACCCACTTAAGTGGGTCAAATTGACACATCTTCCCTTGAGCCTTGGGCACAATGAACATACCATGGAGTGGGTTGGGTCACTTTGGAAATAACCCCCATGTCCTCCATGTGTTTCAGCTCAGCACGCACCTTATCTCTCATGGGAAGAGGTACCTGGCGTGGGGATGAAAGGGTATATGGCACTGCACTCGGTTCCAGCTTAATTGTGTAAGGCTCCTTTGATTTCCCCAAGCCCGAGAAAACTGAGGGGTATTTGGCTCTGATGTTGTCCTGTTGCGCATGTACTGTGTTAGAGACGCTGTATTAAAGGGGTCATATGATGCTTTTTTAAAGTCAAGTCAAGTCTGCTTTATTGTCAATTCTTCCACATGTACAGCACATACACACAGAGAATTGAAATTGTGTTACTCTCAGACCCTTGGTGCATACAGATAACACTAACAGTAGAACATAAATACAGATTTAAATATAAAATACAACTATACAATTATACAAATAAGGTCAAATGTAAAAAAATATATATAAAGCAGCACAAGGCACATGGCAGATAGAGTACAAACCAGTGAAGTAAACAACAGTGCAGATATAATGATTGTAGTGCAAAAGAGCTTATTCAGACTGATTAAAGTGACTGTGTGTGTGTATTTGGGAGGGGGGAGTGGGAGAGTCCATCAGAGGGTCAGAGTTCAGTGGTGCATGGGGCAAAAGAGGGGAGGAGGGGCAAAGTTGGGAGGGAGTTCAGCTTCCTGACAGCCTGATGGATGAAGCTGTCCTTAAGGTTGGCCCTAGCTGTCTTCAAGCTCACCTCATCTCCAGCTCTGAAAGCAGCGTTCCGCGTCTTCAGGAGTCCGTAGAACTCCCCTGTTAGCCACGGCTTCTGGTTGGCCCGGACAGTGATGGTCTTTGAGACTGTTAGAGTTGGTGTATTTTTGGGAACACACTCATTAAGTCTGCGTGGTTGAAATCCCCATCCAAGATGAGAAAAGTATCAGGGTGGGCTGTCTGCTGCTCACTGATGTGCTGGTACAGTTTATTCAGTGCCTCGCTCCTGTTGCTGTTGTTGGAGCTGGGAGGGATGTATAGAGCAACGAGCAGTATAGCTGTATATTCCCTCGGTAGATAGAACGGCTGGCACGTAATAATCATAAACTCCACCAGGGGTGAGCAGTGTTTGCAGACCACAACAGCATCGCGGCACCACGCATCATTGATGTAAACAAAAAGCCCTCTGCCGCGGGTCTTACCTCCCTCGACGCGAACTCTGTCCGCTCGATAGCATGTCAGCTGATCGAGATGAATAGCGCAGTCCGGAACGCTGTTGTTGAGCCATGTTTCCGTGAACACAAAAACACAACAGTCTCTTACAGTCCTCTGAGTTGAGCGTAGTAGTCGGATGTAGTCCAGTTTATTGGACAAAGAGTGTACGTTAGCCAGTACGATGGTGGGGTTCCCGCAGCTCTTCGGCGTGCGTAGAGTTTAACTCTAAAAATGTGGTTCTG